GACGACGCGCTCCCTGTCCACCAGTCGCCGTATCGAGTCTCCTTAAAGGAAAGGAAGGTGATTCAGGATCAAGTCCAAGAAATGCTCGACGACGACATCATTCAACCCTCCAGAAGTCCATGGGCGTCCCCAGTCGTCCTTGTAAAGAAGAAGGACGGAACCCTGCGGTTCTGCGTGGACTATCGTCGACTTAACGCTGTGACAAAGAAGGACGTCTATCCGCTCCCCCGCATCGACGATACGTTAGACCGACTGCGCCACTCCCGATATTTTTCGTCAATGGACCTGAAGAGTGGCTACTGGCAGATTGAAGTCGACGAACGCGACCGGGAGAAAACTGCCTTCGTCACTCCCGACGGACTGTACGAATTCAAAGTAATGCCGTTCGGGCTTTGTACAGCGCCAGCCACCTTCCAGCGTGTCATGGACACCGTGCTGGCAGGTCTGAAATGGCAGAGCTGCCTCGTCTACCTCGACGACGTCGTGGTATTTTCACGAGATTTCAACGAGCACCTGAAACGACTTCGAGCCGTGCTTCAAGCCATCAAGACCGCCGGCCTGTCACTCAAGCCAACGTAGTGTCGATTCGCCTATGGTGAACTTAAGTTCCTTGGCCACGTCGTGAGCAACAAAGGTGTTCTCCCTGACCCTGAGAACACCAGCGCCGTAGCTGCATTTACGCCGCCGTCTGACAAGAAGGCCGTGAGAAGATTCCTCGGACTTTGTGCCTACTACAGACGACTTGTTCGTACTTCGCCAAGCTGTCCGCACCGCTGACGGACCTCACGAAGGACGCCGTAAAGTTTGAATGGACAGACGAACACGAGCGGTCATTCGATGAGCTGAAACGAAGACTCCAGACGCCCCCGATTCTTGGCCATTTTGACCAGTTCGCTGATACAGAGATCCACACGGACGCCAGTAACACCGGGCTTGGCGCGGTGCTAGTTCAAAGGCAGGACGGGGCAGAGCGAGTCATTGCATACGCGAGTCGGACGCTGCCTAAGGCGGAGAGGAACTGCTCTACAACTGAAAAGGAGTGCCTTGCTGTCGTCTGGGCAATAACAAAGTTTCGCCCATACCTGTATGGAAGTCCTTTTTGCGTAATCACGGACCATCACTCGCTCTGCTGGCTCGCGAATCTGAAAGACCCCTCCGGACGCCTCGCCCGGTGGAACCTCCGACTGCAAGAGTTCGACATGACCGTTGTGTACAAGTCCCGCCGGAAGCACAATGACGCCGAATGCCTGTCAAGGGCCCCAGTCGAGGTCGCTCCTGCCTGCACCAAAGAGGACGACGATGAGTGCTTCCTCGGCGCTCTGGATGTCAGCGACATGGCAGCACTCCAACGAGACGGCCCTGAGCTGCGAGCACTCATCGAGCACCTAGAGGGACAAAGAAGCGTCGTTCCTCGCGGTTTTGCACGAACACTGTCAACCTTCTCCCTCCGACGAGATGTGCTCAACAAGGAAAACTTCAGCGACAACAACACGGCGTGGCTGTTGGTGGTCCCTTCCAGTCTTCGAGAAGAAATTTTTCAAGCCTGCCACGATGACCCGACGGCTGGACACCTTGGTTACAGCAGGACTCTTGCCAGGATACGCGAAAAGTACTACTGGCCCAAGCTTGCGAAGGCAGTGCACCACTACACCCGATCTTGCCACGAGTGTCAACGACGGAAGAAGCCACAGACGAGACCGGCAGGACTTCTTCAGCCTATTGCGCCGCCATCTGCCCCATTCATGCAAATCGGTATGGATCTACTCGGACCTTTCCCACCGTCGACACAAGGAAACCGATGGATCATCGTCGCAACCAATTACCTCACGCGGTACGCCGAGACAAAAGCCCTTCCATCAGGAACGGCTGTTCAAGTCGCGAAGTTTTTCATCGAGACCATCGTCCTTCGGCACAGCGCTCCCGAAGTCCTGATCTCAGACCGTGGGTCATCATTCATGGCCCAGTTGACGCAAGAAGTCCTTCGTCTCAGCCACACCAGCCATCGTCGCACCACGGCGTACCACACGCAGACCAACGGGCTAACGGAGAGACTCAACAAGACCATCGTCGACATGATCTCCATGTACGTCGACGTGGAGCACAAGACATGGGACGAGGTGTTGCCGTACGTCACATTTGCCTACAACACGACCGTACAAGAGACCACCGGAGTGACACCCTTTCAACTGGTGCATGGGCGCAAGGTAACGACAATGCTGGACGCTATGTTACCCCACGAACCGGCTGTCGACGCAAGCGACGACGTCCAGGTGGTTGCCCAAAGGGCAGAGGAAGTCCGTCAGCTCGCCAGACTCCGGATTAAAGCCCAACAACGCGTCGACACTGGCCGCTACAACCTTCGTCGTCGGGACGTCCACTTCCAGCACGGGGACAGGGTGTGGGTGTGGACACCGATTCACCACCGCGGTCTCAGCGAGAAACTCCTGAAACGTTACTTTGGACCCTGCAAAGTGCTTCGTCGACTCGGGGATCTGAACTACGAGGTGATGCCCGACGGAACACGGACTTCGTCACGCCGGTCTCCACGACCGGAAGTCGTTCACGTCGTGCGATTGAAGCCGTACTACGCTCGATAGGACTGTGGACCTTGTGTGTTCCAAATGACTCTTTAGTTTACCGTTCTTTTTATTCGTTTTCTTTTGTTTTTGGGTTGCATCGGGACGATGCACTTTTTAAAGGGCGGAGTAATGCCGCGCGCGCAGCTGGCCAAGTAGGCAGCGCGCGCCTAGCCTAACGGTTATAGCGCTTGTTTTCCACGCTGAAAGCCAGGGTTCGATTCCTGGCCGCGGAGGCGCATTTTTGTTGACTATGTAAAGTAATGTTCTGGTAAATTCGAGAAGCATGTTGGGCTTGCTCGAGGTCAGTATGGTTCTACACGCGGAACCTTCTACGCCGATTATTCCAGAAGCCCACACGTGTACATAAGGGCTCCGCGTGGCGATCTGCATGCAGTCTCGCTCAAGCGCTCGATCCTGCGGTTTCGCCGACTTCGACGCCCGCGACGCTGTGTTATTATTCTCTGTACTCTTTCATTTTTGGCACAGGGTCGCCACTATTAAACGTTTATTTATTCCTGTTTATCTATTGTTTTTTTGGTCACCACCCGTGACAATATACCCAGTCATTGGCAGAGGGTCGTCTTCCTCCGGACTGGAAGGTAGGAAAAGTCATACCGGTCTTCAAGGACGGTGATCGATCCTTACCCTCTAACTACAGACCTATATCGTTAACTTCTATCCCATCCAAACTTCTAGAGTATGTAATGTTTTCTCATGTTGTGTCTCATCTTGATCAAAACCACTTCTTTTACGATCACCAACATGGCTTTCGTAGGGGTTTTCTTGCGAGACCCAATTGTCACTGTTTACCCATGAAATTCATGCCAACTTCGAATCTCATCATCAGACCGACGCAATTTTTCTAGACTTTTCGAAAGCATTTGATCGTGTTCCGCATCTTCGCTTACTAACAAAGCTCTCTGCACTGAAAATAAACGTTAGCGTCATTTCATGGATTCAAAATTTTTTTTCTTCACGTGTACAGTTTTCAGTTGTGAACAGTCACGAATATCGTTTATGCAACGTTACGTCAGGTGTACCCCAGGGGTCGGTCCTCGGCCCTCTCCTTTTTCTAATATTTATTAATGATCCCCCTCAATCCATTTGGTCCAAAGTGCGCCTTTTCGCGGACGATTGTGTATTATACCGACCAATTGCTTCTCCGGACGACCATGTGCTCGTTCAGAATGACTTGTCTACCATAATGAATTGGTGTTCCGACAGGCATATGAGCCTAAATGATTCAAAGTGCAAACTCGTACGTTTCAGTCGCAGGCGCTCTGTTTCGTCATGCGTATATTCTCTTGGAACACAACCCATCGAAGACGTCCCATCATACAAGTACCTTGGTGTACTCCTTACCTCCGATTTATCCTGGGCCGCTCACATCGAATCCATTTCCCTCGCCGCATCAAAAACTTTGGGATACGTCCGACGCTGCCTACCCTCTGCTCCTCCGAATCTTCGTCTTTTAGCCTACCAGACATTCGTCCGGTCAAAACTTGAGTACGCCGCCGCTATCTGGAGCCCTCACCAAATCTACCTTACCCCCCAACTTGAAGCCATCCAAAATCGTGCTGCTCGCTACATACTCTCTGTATACGATCATACTGCTAGCGTTACGGCTCTAAAGTCCCAATTAAACCTAACTTCGTTAGCTACCCGCCGTAAATGCTCGCGTCTCTGCCTATTTCACAAAATGTTCCACCATCATCCGGACATTAGATCGATGCTTTTACAACCTCCTCCCCGATCTTCTTGTAGATTAACGAACTCTAACTGTGTGCAGCGCATCTCTGGGTCCACTAACGCATTTAATAACTCATTTTTTCCCCTAGCGATTTCAAAATGGAATGTTCTACCTGAGTGCATCGCCTTAATAATATGCCCTGACGCTTTCCGTTCCTCATTAATCTTGCATTTATAAGGGAAATACTGACTGCCTGTTTGCTTTCTATTTTTGGTTCTCTGGTGGATTATTATTGAGTGCGTGTTTGTTGATGAAATAGTTGTTATTGTTTCATTGTGTTTTTTTTTTTTTTTTTGCTGTTTCAATGTGTCTTTCGTTGATTGACATGTGATTGATCCCCCCTTATGTAATGTCCCCGAAGGGGGAGCTTTAAGGGTAAATACATGATATGAAATTCGAGAACCATGTTGCTTGTTCGAGGTCAGAATGTTCTACACGCCGAACATTCTACGCCGATTATTTCAGAAGCCCACACGTGTACATAAGGGGCTCCGCGTGGCGATATGCATTCAGTTTCGCCCCAGCGTTCGACTTTGCTGCTACGCCGACTTCGACGCCCGCGACGCTGTTATTATTTTTTGTACCCTTTTATTTTTGGCACAAGTTCACCGCATTAAACGTTTACTTCTTCCTGTTTATTTATTGTTTTGTTGGTCACCACCTGTGACACTATGGCCAATCCGATCCTCGTCGCCGGTGTTTTGTTGCGGAATATGTACATTTTTTACATATGTACAAGACCAAAAAGACAAAGTCCTGCTGCGATAGACATAGCAAACCTGTCGCCCACCCGAGCACGGTAGTGCGTGATGGGTGTGAGTGGAACGTGGTCCGAGCCGGTCTTGCCCGCTCTTGTCTTTTCTTAAAGGAACACTGACACACCCATAGGCGTAGACTACGGGGGGGGGGGGGGGGGGGCATCGGGGCTCGTGCCCCCCCCCCCCCTCCAAGCCATGACTTTTACCGAAACGCTGGTTACGTGCCATGTAACGAGCTTCTAGTAGCGGCATGTAAACGCAATAACGGCCACGTTGCCTTTATTGACAAAATACATGGGAAATAGAATCCCAGTGTGCTTTCGTTAGCTTCAATCTCCAGTTCTGGTGTGAAGGTAACGCGGCATCGATCATTTTTACGTCCGCTTCGTCTACTTCCACAGCAGCCTGCCATTTCGCGATGTCCCACCAGAAAAGAACAAGAAAAGATAAATAAAACAACTGGAAGTTCATATAGAGGGCGCCTACTCCGGTACCACGGCGCATGCGCCGTGGTACCGGGGATGAACACACGGCTACGCTTGCAAGGTGATTGACATTGACACACAGCGCCTGACAGTGCGATATTCATACGCCGTAAAATGTACCCCCTAAAATAAACTACTAATAATTGCCACTGTTAAAAAAATTGCGCGAAAAAGCCCCCCCCCCCCCCCCCCCCGCCCCGCGGGAAAATGGAAAGTCTACGCCGCTGGACACCCCCCAAGATTTTTGTTTCATGTTTGGCCAGGCAATTTATTATGCTGTCAGAAGACTACACAATCAGTATTTTTGCTTCAGCGTCGCGTATATTTTTATTTAAGTAAAACAAAATGCAATCGGTTGACACCGAAACCGAAACTGAACTTGGGAGGAAGACACAGTATAGAGGAGGAAAGAGTTGGTGGAAGTTACAAGGCTGTGCCACTTTTTTAGATGCGGAGCATCTCTTGCTCGGGTCTACGTCCCGCGGCGTCGTAGTCCGCACTCACACTACGCATGCGCAACTCTCCTCCTTCCCTCTCTCCAACAGCTGCGCGTCACTCTCTCCGCTCTCTCTCTCTCCACCAGCTGCGTGCACTTCGCGTGCGTTCGCTTCTACTCACACCGTGCGCGCACCAACAGTAAGCCGTGGACCTGCCGCCTCCGTCAAATCACACAACGACTGCAAGAACCGTTCGGGGGGCTGGACGTGATCCTGTGCGGAAACTTGCGCCAACTGCCTCCCGTGCGCGCTAGTGAAATTTACAAACGGTGCAGACACGGACGGCCTCTTTGGCGCCACGGTTACCTGGCACTACTTGGACTACTTCCCGCTGGTTCGAGTGGTTCGCCAGGCTGACTCTACGTTCTCCACCATCCTGACCAAGATCGGTGACGGGAGAGCGCTGGACGAAGAGGACGTGCGTCTACTCGACAGTCGGTTCGTGAGCGCCGAAAAGGCCCTAGCGCGCGCCGTCGGCAGTCCGGATCTTCTACTCAAACGACGAGGTCCAGCGCTTCAACACGTTCGTTGCCAACCAACAGAAAGAGCAGCGAAAAGTCGTGTGCTTGCGTGGTTGCGACACGTTCCTCGGCTGCAAGACTCCACACGTACTCGACAACGCCAAACGCAAGGTTGACAAGATGGCTACCAGCGAGTTTGGAAACCTTCCGCGAGAGATTCTGCTGGTGGTGGGGAAACCGTACATGATCACGTCCAACATCGACGTAGTGGATGGGCTCGCCAACGGCGCTGTCGGCACGTTAAAGCTTTGCGAGCGCCAGGCCTCCGGCAACGACGACGCCTAACCCAAACGCCTGTGGCTACAGTTTGACGTTCCCACCACCGGCAGGATCACTCGTGCGCGTTCCAAACGAGCGGTGCAAGAAGCCATACGCAACGAGTACGTCGTTGAAAGCGCGTGGATCCCGATCGAACCACAGTCTCTAACGCTAACCATCGACCGCAAGTCCGGCGTTGCCTGCAAACGGCTTCAATTCCCTCTCGTGCAGGCCAGCGCCATTACCGTACACAAGTCTCAGGGCGGCACGTACTCCGAGGTCGTGTACGAGTACGCAAAGACCCACCCGCAAACGTTGGTGCACTTTGCGCTGAGCCACTGCACCGACATCAACACCCTATACCTCGCCAACTCGTCCGCCGATCACTGCTTCCATCACAAAGACACCAACGCCGACAAGAACATGGCGGTCGAGTTTGAACGCTTGCAGAAACACAAGCTGGACACCGTCACGCACTGGTACTTGCACGTGCTCGAGACCCGCGTTCACGCAGAGACCAAATTCACGCTAGCGCTCCTAAACACCAGATCGCTCAGCGCTCATGCGTTAGACATTGAGCGAGATCCAGTGCTCAGCTAAGTGGACGTGCTCTGCTTTACGGAGACGTGAAACGCCGTGAACGTTGACATTGCGGGCTACGCTCCGGTCGCGCGTACGCAGCGGTTTGGACGACCTGCGGGCGGTGTGGAAATCTACGTCAAGCGTTCTGACAAACATTCCGTCAACGCGCTGGACCTACAGCTGCGCCCCACTGCTGACCAACGTAGCAACGGCTAGCATTGTGCCGCTAGCGTCTACGGCGTTGACGTCATGACCATGTACCTCGCACCCAACCTCTCACACACAGCCGTGGAGCAGTACATCGACGAGGCCATGGGTGACTACCAAAAGCAATACGCAGACACACATCCTTTCATGCACATTGGCGACTTTAATGTCAACGTCATGAAGAGCCATTGGATAGTTGAGTACATGTCATCACACCACTCGCTGCAACACGTATCATAAGACGACCGCAAACAACAGCCAACTACCATTCACGGCACATGCATTAATCACGTCTTCGCCAATTTCAAGATCCACCCACTGCACCAAGATCCCCTCACGGTTCACTTCAACGACTACAAAGCCATCCTCATCAAAGCAAATTGCACACCTCAAGTACTACAGACGCTGCTCAATAAAGACCTTCGTTAACCGTTTCACCTTCGTCTACGCCAGTGGTTCCCAGCCATGGATGTGTCGGGAACCCCTTGCGGACCGCTGGCAGTGATGGGGGGAACCCTTCCAGCGGGGGGGGGGGGGGGAAGGGGAAGGTGAGGGGGAGGGGGGGACGTTAGTGAGTTAACACATCTGGAGCATGAAACAGGTGCCTTTTATTGCTACGTAGCAGAAAAACATGAAACAAAGGTGCCACATCACCTCATTCTGGTCAGTTCATCAACACGTGGCACACTCGCGCTTCAAACTAAAAAAAAAATTTCTCAACTAAAAAAAAAAAAAAAAAAATTATTGAGGGTTTCGCGGACCCCAGAAGTGGCTTCGCGGATTCCCTGGGGTCCGCGGACCCCCATTTGGGAACCACTGGTCTACGCAATCAAAAAAATTGCACCATCTTCCCGAGGGGAACCATGGGGTGATGCGGAGCATCGCGGAGTTTCATACAACGTTCACGCGATGTGTGGTAACCAACGCAAGTTAACAACGTAATAACACGCAAGTTAACAACGTTACTAACAACATTACTAACACCGTTCATAACACCGCTAATAACGATCCGCGATGCTCCGCATCACCCCATGGTTCCCCTCGGGAAGATGGTGTAATTTTTTTTCTTTAATTAACGTAATAACGTATTTGCGGCTTTTTAGAAGCCAGAAACAATGGGTATCATATTACTTTTCTCTTTTTAATATTGAGTGTGTTCCTTCGAAGACCCACAACTTTGATTTTATTTGGTGGTTGTGTCTAAACAATTGAAAACGATATGCGACCCAGGAGAAGAGAGTGAGCGCGGCCCAAACCGGCCAGTCTCGATCAGTGGCTTTCGGCCGGAAAGAAACCGAATTTCAATCCGCAAAGTGTGTCCTGGGTAGTCGGGCTCTCAAATGTCATATACAAAAAAAAAGTGAAAGCCGTTTACAACTCCCTGTAACGCCGAATTGGAGCGCTGCTCTTGATGAGAAGGAGTGAAGGGTACTGAGGGGAGGCTAGACCCCTCCTCCTTCTCCTCCTCCGCCCCTCATTCTTTAATATGCTCCGGGAGGGTCACGTGACTTCGGGAAGGGGGTGTCATGTGACTTTGAGGGGGTCACGTGACCTCGGGGAGGCGTGACCTGGGGTCACGTGACCTTGGGGTGTCACTTGGGGGTCACCTTGGGGGTCACGTGACCTCGAGGTGACCTTGGGGAGGGGACCACGTGACCTCGGGGGTCACGTGACCTCGGGGGTCACGTGACCTCGGAGGGGTCACGTGGGGGTCACCTTGGGGTCACGTGACCTTGACGTGGCCTTGGGAGGGGTCCCGGGACCTCGGGAGGTCACGTGACCTTGAGGTGACCTTGGGTCACGTGACCTTGGGATGACCTTGGTTACGCCGACACCGACGGCGACGCCGCTCAAGCCGGAAACGGACGCCTAAGAGCTGCGCTCTAAAAAGGAAACCCTGGCGAGCATAAATACCTTGTCAGTGTCTCTTTAAGTCAACGATGAAGTCGAGCCGCAACAGTATGCCCAGAATATTACATGAGGAAACTCTCAAGATGTGTAGATATTTGTGATTATCAATTAAAAGAGCGCTGAAACTGAGTATGTGTAAGAAGAAACAGTTCTGATTTGTCGGGGGTAGGTTGAAGGCCTGCCTGTGCGAGGTATTCAGTTATGATTTCCAGTCCCCGCTGCAGAGTTCCCTCCACTTCAATAGGTGTCCCAAAAGTTCACCAGAGGTTGAGGTCGTCCGCGTAGAAGATGTGCGACAGATGGGTGATTTCTCGGACGCGACGGGCCAGCTGGGCCATGCCGAGATTAAATAGGGTAGGCGAAAGCACCGCCCCTTGTTGGGTGCCGCGTGTGAGCGTGATTGGTGGGGGCGTTTCTTCAGCTATATGAGAGCTGGCTGCGCGAATTTTGAGGAAGCTGATGTGGTATGTGTATAGTTTGTGTCCGTCGCTTGTTTCTTAAACTGAGGCCGATAGCCGAACCATAACAATGTCTGGAACTCAGCGCGTGTCCTGTGCTTTGGGGCATATAATCGGCTCCAGATCACGTGGCCGCTGGTTCTGGCGGCGAGTTGAAGGGGTTAACGCTGAGCTGAGATGAAGATTGAGATATTCGTACAGTTTGTCAAACTGTACGAATCGAATGCTTTACGAGCATCAATAGTAACAAAGGCGTCCACTTGAGCAGAAGATGGCGATTTAAAGATATGCTGAAGGAGGAGAATGAGGTCTTGGGTGGATACCTGGGGCGGAATCCGATTAGTATATGTACAAAAAACGAGATGGCTTCCAGATGATCGTGGTAGCGGTCCAGTACCATCCGGTCCATCGTCCTTTCCACGCAAGAAATAAGGTAAATTGGGCAAAGGTTGATGAGTGAGGGGGTTCGCCCGGCTTAGGTATCATGGTGATAATAGAGGATTTCCAATCTTGTGGTCAGGAGCACTCCGACTAGTGCGTATTGATGTGAGCTAGAATTTGTTTTTGTTTTTAATGCGAAAGCATAACCTTTCCCATGGAGCGAGCTGACGTAATCAGCTCTGAAGCCGCGCCAAATGGCACCCTAAATCCTTTCTCCAAGTGAAGCCAGCTCCCAGCTATGAAACCACGCGAAAAGCCTAGACAATGGCACCTAGTTTGTCCGATCCCAAAGGAGCGGAGTAAAGCTGATGGATTTCGCCTTCGGTCCCATAGGCTAGGGCGCGTCGACGAGGCTTCCATTGGCCGCCAACGACCGCCGCCTCATGGCGCTGCCTGTCCGTGCCGCGAGCGCGCCTGTAACGTGAAGCGTCCAAGGTCAGAGCTGCGAGGAGAGCTGGGAGAGCGCGCGCACGGCCGACGCAAATACGCCGCCAACGAAACATGGGAGCAGAAGAAGGGCACGTATGCTTTCGCACTCACAACTCATAAGAAGTGCGTAGGTGTACCTCGAGCCTTTTTTCCTTCTTGAGGAGGTTGCGAAATAGCGGGCACGTAACACCATCCTCCCCGGGAGCTGATATTTTCTTTTTTTTTTTAAAGGGGAGGGGGGGTTGTGTCAAGGCTCAGTACAGTTCTGCTGGTTGAACGTACGATCTAAGTCGGAAGTTTCAGGGCCTTTGCAGAGTGGGTAGTTCGACGCAAGTGGTGTCGGAATGTACAACTCCTGTAGTGTCTGAGTCATCTGCGCGGAGCCCTGAAGAGAGAGATATTTAGCTATAGCTGTTCTTGGAAGTGGGTGGGGACCTAGCAGACATGGCATTAGGATCCATGAGGATTTAAGGTGGGCGGTTACGTTGATTTTGTGACACACGTTCTTTCAGTTCGAGATACATAAGACGTTACGGCGCTTACTGATGTCCGCGGTGAGGTTGTCTAATTGTTCTCGAAGTTGATGATTAAGGGGCTGTTGGCTGAAGAGTCTCAAAATACGTTTCCGTCGTTTCCAGAGGCGCATCAGCTAAGAATCAGATTGTGTTGACGGGCTTGTTGTGCTTTCTCGTTTTGTGGCCTGTGCTTGAGCTTGCTTTATTGAGCGTGTCCAGGCCTCATATGAGTCTGACTGGTTCTCAGTGGAGACCAAGATGGTACGAAAGGTGTTCTACTTGGTGTGCCTAATGGAAATAAAGGCGGTGTTATAGAAATAATAAAATGATCACTGAAGAGTCTTTCCTGGGTGTGGGTCTAGGTGCCTTCAATTCGACCCTGGAGCATATGAGGTACGGATAAGGTGGATTGTTGCCGACCAGTGCCCTCTCCTGTCAGTATGTCGAGGTTGTTCAAAATGGTGAAGTGGTGTTGTGAAATGTAAGAATGTAAAATTCACTCTCGGCGGAGCGTGGACCGATTTCCCCAAATAACATCCAGTGGATTAAAATCTCCGCCCAGGAGAAGCCTTTTATGTAGATGTCAACTCCGCAGCAAATGCAGAGGTTACTGAAGAAAGAGTAAGTAAACAGGCGAGCTGGTTTATTTCGCACATTATGACAAAAACCGGAGACGGCGCACAAAGAAGGGGACGAACGCTTGTGTACGAGGGAAGGTCTGCACCGCGCTTCAAGGTTACAAGACGTGTGCAGATTCCGGGAGTCGTCTGTGTTGCGTGGGAGATGAGGTCGTTGCTTTGAATCGAGGTCATGACGCGTTGTACCGTTCTGGAAGGCCACAAAGACGAGTGCGAATTCCGGAAGCCGCGTGTGTGAGAGATGATATTAAACGGTTGTGCGAAAGTTTAGTACCAGCGTTTGAGACGTTTTGTGTTTTGCCCCTTCTTCGTCAGTCGTCTCCGTTTTTTAGATGCGGAGCATCTCTTGCTCGGGTCTATGTCCCGCGGCGTGGTAGTCCGCACACACACTACGCATGCGCAACTCTCCTCGCTACGCGTGCGTTCTCTCTCTCCAACAGCTGCGCGAAGTGCACGCAGCTACCAGCTGCGTCCTTCTCTCCAACAGCTGCGCGTGCGTTCTCTCTCTCTCCAACAGCTGCGCGAAGTGCACGCAGCTACCAGCTGCGTGCACTTCGCGTGCGTTCGCTTCTACTCACACCACGCGCGCAGGCGCAACTCTCCTCCTCTAGTTTCCTCTCCTTCAGTGTGAATATAAGCAGCGGTAGCGCGCCGTGCGCGTTCAAGGGGAGGAAGTGGCCGAGTGGGCTAACGCGTCTCAGCTCGGAGTGTGGAGCGAAAGCTTGCGCTGGGAACCTCCTGGGTTCGAGTCCCCGCCGCCCTCGCCCGTTTCGATCTGGATGAGTTTCGTACCGGCACGCGTTCGTGTGATCACTGCTGCGTGATGCACGTTAAAAATCCCAGGTTAGCGGTTGTACTGCACTGGCTAAATTTGTCATCTACAGCTAAGAGACCGATTACCCGTTGAGGCGCCTCTCCATCAAGGCTGTATAAACATAAAGAGCAAACCAATTCTGCGCGCGTTCAGTTCACCGCTGTTCACTCCACTTCACTCCGTTCTTCCGATGAAGTGTGATGGAACGATGCTCCGCATCACTCCATGGGTCCCCTCGGGAAGATGGTGTAAATTTTTTTTTTTTCAAAGAGGGGCTTGCATAAACGATGATCTTTAAGGGGATTGTAAAAGTTGAGCGAGCAAATGCGTTTCTGTGGGGGGAGGGATAATAAGCACATGCTACTAGAATATGTGAAAGTGCCGAGGGAATGTCCAGCGGTTCCTACTGGAGATATCGTCGGATGTATTTAGAGGCTAGGGAAGCCTCGTTAGGGTTGGCGTGTACGACTCGGTAGCCTGCGACATTTACCGCATGACGTGTTTCCTGGAGAAGCGGAATCTGGGGTTTGGAATTGGAGGTAAGAAGCTAGTGTTGAATGGGAGTACGATTGGTTTTGATGCTTGGGCAGTTTTATTGTATGACAAGGAATTCTGTATCTTTGATTATTACCGTCTTGCGGTTAGGTCGGGGGGTGTGAGGGGTTGGTTGTGTAAAAAGAGTACTGTACTTTTTCCTTCCGCCGTAACGATTGGAAAAACCATAAAAAGCGAAATCGTCCAAAATCTTCTGGCCTCATTCCGGTCGATGTCATGCCGTCACCTGGCCTCGACGACGTCCTCCGTACAGCTCGCACACTTGATCAAGACGGGCTACCCAAAATACTTGCTCCAGACACGATTAAAGGGCATTTTGACTGCTCAAGCCACCAGCGCACAACCTAAAAGCTGGCCTCACGCATCCCGCTTTGCGTGCATTCCATACGTGCGCAACATTTCTCACAGAATCAAATCGTTATCGATCCGACACGACATGCAGGTGTGCTTTTCATGCCACCTCAGGCTCTACTCGCTCTGCCGGAAGGTTACTAAACCAAGTGCCCCAAAGGCGTAACCCAAAAAACACGCAACATAGTTCGTTCCATGCAGGCAGGCCAGCGTCTACACGATCTCGCTCGGGTGCGGCTCGCGGTATGTCGGTCATGTGGTATGAAAGGGCCTGCCACCTACTGAGCGGCACGCCTACCTGCTGGTGGTAGACGACGATATCAAAGGGGCGATGCAACAATTTTTGTACTTTGCGCAAATACCGCTTAGAACGGATCCCTGACATTAATGACCTATGAAACACGCATTCGTTTTTCACCCCATGCAATAGAAGTCCCAGAAAAAAATTAAAAAAAACGAGCAGCGTTCACCCCCTCAACTCGCAGCCAGAACAAGCGGCCATGTGATCTGGAGCCGATTATATGCCAACAATGTAGATCATAGCCACGCGCTGGGGTTGACAAAGCACAGGGCACGCGCTGAGTTCCAGATATTGTTATGGCTCGGCTATTGTCGTCGTTGCAGCGATTGGACACGGGCCACTACCCGAATGCTTCTCGAGCTAGTAATTATCACGAGCCCAAATCGAGTGCCCACGCAATGCTCGGGTCCAATCTATAAACAGCATTCAAATATCGTCATATGGATGTACTGCGATACCCACATTACGTCATGAAATTTTGCAAAGGAGAGATTGAATGAAAATGATCGCTTTTGTCCTTGAAATTACACCGCAACAAAGGAGTTTCTTGGCCAGCGGAGTTGCGTGCGAGTATCCTTGACTCGCACTAGTGCCAGTAAGCTCGTGTATAGTGAAAAACATTCCAAATGAATATCGTTGCACAGCTCCTTTAAAGATTCTTATACGTGGCACTCTGGCCTGTGGTAGCATCTCGTTCTTTCTCCGCCAACCTAACATGGCACCAGAAGTGAGATCACGGCCAGAAATCAAGAACCGCTACCAGCACTGACTTCCGAGGCACCCAAGGTAGCAATCCTCCACCGGAAGAAATGGCAACCACCGCAGCGGGCAGATCGTTCATGATACAGCCGCCGGAGCCATTTTCTTTCTCGTTTCCGAACGAATGGCCGAAATAGAAGAAGCGCTTCCAAGGCTTCCACACTGCTTCGGCACTCAGCACAAAACACGAAGAACACCAAATCGACGCTCTCTTTTATACGTTATAGGGGACCAAGCCGAGGACATCTTCAGCACGTTCCAGCTAACCGAAGCAGAAACCAAGAAGTTCGATACCATCATGGGCCACTTCGTCGCGTATTTCATACCGCGAAGAAACGTCATCGTTGAGCGAGCTCGATTCAACTCTTGGGTCCCACAAGAAGGCGAGTCCATCGAAAAGTTTGACACGTCACTGCACGCCTTGTCAAAGTACTGCGACTACGGCCCAATGCAAGACTAGTTTGTACGAGATCGGCTAGTCGTTGGCATCCGTGACAAAAAGCTCTCCGCAAAACTCCAGCTCGACGCCAACTTACTTAACACTTCAAAGGGCCCTAGAGTCAGCGAGGCAAGTTGAAAACGTCCGTCAGCAGCAAGTCGAGCTGAACCAAGACATCAAAGCCGGCAGCCGCGTCACCAAGCTTGACGCAAGGAGAACTTCAGCTAGTCGCTTCACTGGGTCTAGCGCCAAATCACCAGGCAGACTAGAACACAAAGAGTCCGGTTCGTCCAAGACGAACAGCCAGGAATGTCTTTGGTGTGGACGAGCACGCCATTCCAGAAAGTCGTGTCCAGCTCGACACGAGACTTGTAAGAGTTGCCTTAAGAAAGGTCATTTCTCCGGAGTCTGCATTTCCAAGAAAGTCCGCTTCGTTGGACCATCTCAGGACGATGATGACGAGGTTGGCTTTATTGGAGGAGTGTCACACCCTCAAGCTGACAAGTGGGAAGTGACGGTGACGCTTCAAGGAGAAACCGTAAACTTTAAATTGGACACGGGCGCCGACGAAACAGTCCTCTCGCCCTCCATCTTCCGGAAGCTCTCCCCACGACCGCGCCTGGTAGCACCACCCCGTCAGCTTCACGGACCGGACGGAACCCTTTTGGCAACAGAGGGGACAGCTCGCCTCAACATCACGTATGGAGACCGCACTTCAATGCATCACGTTTAAATCTTGGAAGACCTCTGTACGCCATTACTGGAAAAGCCTGCTATACAAGCTTTGCAATTGGTATCGGTGGTCAACGAGATCAGCCCAAGCTCCCATATTCTTGACGAATCTAAAGTCGACGCAAGAACGGAGTTCCCTGCGCTCTTCAAAGGGCTCGGCAGGCTCCCTGAAGCATACCACGTGCAACTCCAAGACGGTGCCAATTAAACTGTTGACAGTAAGTTCTGCACGGCCGAGTGCCGATCCTGCTCTATGAAAACACGAAAGAGCTTCAAAGAATGGAGAGAATGGGAGTAATATCACCCGTCGAAGAGCCAACTTTTTGGTGTGCGCCGATGGTAGTTGTTTCAAAGCCAAGCGGTGCAGTGAGAATATGCGTTGATTTCACAGAACTCAATCGCTACGTACTCAGTGAATGGCACCCTATACCGTCCGTCGAACTCCTTCAGTTCGAACTCCTTTAGGACTCCTTCAGAATGCAAGGTACTTCTCAAATCTCGATGCAAACTCCGGTTTTTGGCAAATTCCACTAAGCGGAGACAGCAAGCAGCTCACGACTTTCATTTCGCCGTTTGGACGGTTTTACTTCAACCGACTAACTTTCGGAATTTCTTCAGCTCCGGAGCACTTCCAGAAACAGCTCTCGAGCATCCTACAGGGAGCAAGTGGTGTCATATGCCATATAGATGACATTCTCATCTGGGGCTCCACTCCCGCAGAGCATAACACCAGACTCCGCACCGTTTTGCAGCGACTCTGCAACGCAGGTCCGACGCTCAACGAGGACAAACGCTCCTTCAACGTCCAAGAATTAACATTTCTGGGCCACAAAATCAACGAGCATGGCATCCGTCCAGACGATTCCAAGGTTCAAGCCGACAAGGCCATGCACCCGCCTACCTTTAAGCCAGAGCTGCAGAGGGTGCTGGGAATGGCAACATACCTGGCTCGATTTATTCCGAACCTAGCAACCGTCCTTCAACCACTCAGCTCTATGCTTAACACTAATCAAGAGTTTGTTTGGGGATCCGCTCAACAAGACGCGTTTGACAAGTGGAAGGCGATTTTATCGTCAGATCCAATCCTTGCAGTCTACGACCCTAGAAAAGAGACTGTAGCCCGATGCGTCTTCTTACGGAGTGGGCGCCGTATTGAGACAAAAACAAGAGGGAAAAAATACTAAGTCATCTAGTACGCTTTCAGACTGCTTAGCGACACCAAAAAAAGGTACGCTGAAATAAAAAAAAGAGGGTGTAGCGCTCGTTTGGGCTTGTGAGAAGTTCAGCGATTACCTAGTCGGCAAGTTCTTCAACCTCGATACCGATCACAAGCCTTTGGTGCCGCTTTTTTCAAGCAAGGCTCGAGACGACCTCACTCTGAGACTGCAGCGTTTGCGCATTTGTATGATGAGGTACAACCACAACGTCACATACGTACCAGGAAAAGAACTTCTCGCCGCAGACACGCTATCAAGGGCACCTCTCAAAAACACTTTCCCTCTAGACCTAGGGAGGCATTGTAAAGACTCAAGCCAGAGCGGCAGGCTCTGTATGGTGGCCAGGTCTACAAAAAGATCTGGAAAAGAAGTAAAAACATGCCATCCCGGATTTTAAAAGTCAAAGAACAGGAAAATGCCTCTGCTTCCGACTGAATTTCCCGACAGACCGTGGCAGGGGGTGGCGACGGACCTCTTGTACCATAAGGTCACTGTTGGTTAATTGGGACCGATTATTTTTCTCGGAACCCAGAAATCGCACGACTAAAAAGTCTGACTACACAGGCAGTTGTCACACACTGCAAGTCAATATTTTCCCGACACGGCATACCAGAGGTCGCTGTTTCCAACAACGGACCCCAGTTTTCTCGTGTAGCGACGTCTGCGTTTTCTACATTTGCAAGAGAAAATTAATTTAAAAATGTGACATTTAGCCCTTGCTATCCACAAAACAATGGGTTAGCGGAAGCTGCAGTTAAAATAATTAAAACTTCGATGTCAAAAACGGGAGACCCCTACAAGACACTTCTCTTGTACCGAACGACACCTCTAAAGACCGGATATAGCCCTACAGAACTCCTCATGGGAAGGCGGCTTCGAACAAACGTGCCTACAGCAAGCAAGATGTTACTTCCCGTCAGCCCCGACAATGATTGACTAAAGAAGTTTGAGAAAGAAAGTCGGCAACAACAAGATATACAATCGCCGCCACGGAGTTCGCGGCCTGGCGGACATCGTGGATGGCACCGATGTCTAGGTTGTAGATTTCAAGAGAAAAGGTATACTGTACAGCAGCCAGCCCAGGAGCCAAGGTCCTTCATCGTAAAAACGGATGAAGGCATCGTTCGGAGGAACAGGACTCATCTTGTTCCCTACACCGATTAAATCCCGGCGCCTGACTCGTCACACGAATGCCAAGATACCACGCATGCCCACAGCAAGAGTGGCCGCTGCCTAAAACAACCGAGGCGGTACTTACCTTAAGAAAGGGAGATGTGGTATTAAAGGGCCTGCCACCTACGGAGCAGCACGCCTACCTGCTGGTGGTAGACGACGAGATTAAAGATTCTTATACGTGGCATTCTGGCCTGCGGTAGCATCTCGTTCTTTCTCCGCCAACCTAACAGGTCAGACAGGACGTTGTCTAAACGACCGCCTGTGAGAGAAAGCCAATGAGGTCAAACCAATCCCTTCAGAGCCTCCATCTAACAGCCCAGCACGTCGGCTCCCGCCCGTCCTGCGAACCAAAGTTTTCAGCCACTACCACTGTGCGAACAGATATGTCGAGATATGGCCACGAGATTATCGGAGGCTTTGTTATGCGCCATTCGCCGCAAAACATTGGGTCTCCATCGCTCTGTGTCTCCGACGCCGACGTGGCTTTTCTGCGTCCGGAACTACAACAAACCAGTATACCCCATTAACACGGGCGGTTTAAAGGTACCTTTAGCATAGGCCGCTATCTTAAAAGGACATGGAGTTCGTATTTACACGGAGCACAAATGTCCCATTCGCTAAAGCAGGGTTTGGAATGAACGGAGCTCGCAGACCACCCTTTACAACTACAGGGAGCGGCCTCAGACCCTTGAATTCCAAATAAAAATTTAGCATATACGCCTCTGCGTTGTTTGTTGCATTGTAATAAAAGAATATTTGCAAGGCAAAGATGATAAAGTAAACGGGAGCACAAACCTGATGGAAGACGGAAGCGACAAACTTATGCTCGCGACAGCGGGCAGCAGTGGTGGCCCGAATGCAATGGCGGCTGTACGTGCTTTGAGTACTGAGTACACTCTACTTTGAGTAGCGACGACGATTCGTCCGCTTCGCCCGCCCAGAGTATTTTTGTGACCGTGATTTCGCCTGGTGGACCTGTGAACTTGGCTGCCAGCACTAGCGGCGCAAGCCGCTAGAAAAACGGAAACATGGTCCACGGAAACATGGTCCACGGACCACGGAAACATGGTAGCTAAATTGTCTCTGGGAGGACAACTTCGACAAACTCTGGCAACAAAGGAGGAACGCCGGAGTGTACAAGACGATCTGCCCCGATATCAAGAGGCTCTCTATTTAGAAGACCCGGAGGCAGTCGCAAAGAAGTAGCATAGCAAACTCGGGGAAATACGGAGAGTTGTCGATCACGTTTCGGTCCTTGTGTATCATCTAATCCAAATCCTTTTAGATCTGGATTAGATAAGACGGTGGGCAATTAGGCCACACCGGCGAGACGTTCTAAGAAAAAGCTGATGTTTTACTTATACCACGCAATACATTCAATAAACCAATTTTTAATTCGTTTTAGAACGACATATTCCAGTTCTAATAACGTAAAGAATGTGTTTTAAACCTGTTTAGACCAAAAATTATATAATGCTCGTTGGCCACTTGGTTTAGCCTTGTTATCCCCGGTGCAGCAAAACACCAACGCTAAACCTTCCGTTTATTTTCCGTGCGTTCCTAACGCCTTTTGATACAAGTACCTTTAGCTAAGGGACCTGAGCTACAAATCCTTTAGGCAGCCCATGTGAATGGGGTACAAGGCGCCTTCGAAGAATGGTTCCCCCATCCTTTTGTAGGGACTGGACGCACCGACAAGCGAGTCCAGTCTCGACACAGCAAAAAAGAGAAAAAGAGACGCGCGCGCTAGCTATACGCTCACGCGCTCACGCGCTCACGAAGAGCAGTTCCTGCCGAGACACCACTGAAATAGAACGTTGTTTTGGAACGTCCGTCTCCTGCCTGTTTCTTTTTCAGCAGGGACACCAGGTAGTTGATGGCCAGGTTGATGTTCTGGGCCAGCTCGTCTGGGCTCATCTTCACGTTGCCCACAGCCACAGCCAGGCAAAGCACCTTCTTCATCTGGAACTTGATGGTAGCCTTGACTTCATCCAGCTTGGCCATCATGGACTCGTTGTGAGTCAGAAGGGTGGGGAATTTGCCAGCCTTGTTCAGGCCGGGACCCAGCAGACGGGGGATCTGCTTGATCAGCGACTCCGACGCCATGAAGGCGTCATACTTTTTGGCGAGCTTTTTTACCAGTTTCTTGTTCTTGTTGAGCTTCTTGAGGGCCTCAGTGTCCATGCATGGCAGGTTGTTGGCCTTGGCCTCGTCGCAGTGCTGCTGGTCTCCCAAGACACACACCTGGAACTTTGCAGGCAGGAGACGGACGTTCCAAAACAACGTTCCAAAACAACGTTCCAAACAGGCAGGAGACGGACGTTCCAAAACAACGTTCTATTTCAGTGGTGTCTCGGCAGGAACTGCTCTTCGTGAGCGCGTGAGCGCGTGAGCGTATAGCTAGCGCGCGCGTCTCTTTTTCTCTTTTTTGCTGTGTCGAGACTGGACTCGCTTGTCGGTGCGTCCAGTCCCTACACTTTCATCTCTCCTCGGGCTCACTTCCCCTTTTATGCTCCCCACCCCCTCCCCTTCCCACTTTACTAAACCTTCTTTGCTCGTGCCGCCGCCACGACATCCGCGGGTGTCACTGGCTCAAAAGCATGTTTCTCTTTTTCTACACCTATACCCTCCCGTCTTTTTCTTAGCACGCCAACTGTCGCGGTTGTTGACGGATGTGACAGTAAAGCGCGAAACACACGTACGACGAAACTGTCCGATCCGACGTCCGATCAGGCAATACGACGGTCGGAGGCGAGGGTTTTCAACGCTCTCCGGTGCTACGAAAACCCTCTTCCCCCAAGGTCATTCCGGCAGTCCGCACGTCGGATCGGACGGTTTCGTAGTACATGTGTTTCACGCTTAAATGTACGCTGCCGATTGGAGAAATGTGTCGACCAGTCCTCGTCATTCATATAATTCTCCTTTAACACCTTTAACTATTTTGAAGATGGTAAATAGCCTACCGGAAAGAGTAAAACGTGGATGCTTCGGAAATGTGCTTAGTTCGAATTGGTGCCACTGAATAAGCTACGCTTCAGAAAGGAGACACTTCCGCCACTTTGGTGCTTAAAATCATGGTTGCCAGTTATCTGAAGCTTCATCCGAAATGTTTTTCAGTCTTTCAAAAATCTTAACACAGTTCGCGACAGAGCAAAACATTATCACCTGAGCTTCCTAACACCGTAGCTAATGCTGAGGAAGTCGCATTTTTGGAATGCAGACGATCGACAGTTGCGTTTGCGCTGCACGAAGCACCAAGATGGCGGCGCCCACTAGCAGACCGAGAAACGAAATGCCGATACTCCAACGTTACTAAAACACTCCGTTGTGGAGCTCACCCTTGAAACCCGAACCGCTCGCGTCCACAAAGACCGAAATGGATACGATTTCAGCGCGGCCCTTTAGCGGCGAGTCAAAACATGGAAGTTGCTTTATAAAGATACTTCGAAATCTTCCTTTCGTCTTGCAGACGTTTATAAAATATTCATTTAAGGATCCCGTGCCCACGAGTGTTTTTCTTGCAGAGAATTAAAAAGTGCAAAGTCGAGATGGGCCCATTGCCCGAGCGAATCGATCAATAATTCAACGATTCAAAATCGATGTACGAGCATGTTTCAGCATTATGTATTAACGTTTTCTTTTCAGCTATATTATGTATTAATTCTCACAATAATAATAATAATGATTCAGTCGTGTTGTGACGGTAAACATAAGTATACGTCTCTCTGGTATCGCGCAGGAGATCGTGATTAATAAAAACCTATAAGACTAACTTTTCTACAATTTCCAGCCACACGCGGCGGCAATGATGAGCCTTCAACTTAGCGTTGAAGACGATAAAATCGAGTCAGCATCACCACTGTAAGCTATCAACATTAAAGGGTCTGTGCAACAATATTTGGTGGAAACGTTTCTCCCTTTACAACATCTTACTGGCACTGGTGGGCCCTAAGAATACTCAAACGCAACGCCACTGACCAAGAAGCGTCTTCGTTGCGGTGGAATTCCAAGGATAAAAGCGGACCTTTTCTTTCAGTCTCCCCTTCGCAATACTTGATGACGGAGCTGCGGGGACAATGCAAAATTTGATGACGTAAAGTGGGGATTGAAGTACATCCAAATTACGATATTTGAATGCGATTCATAAATTGGACCCGAGCATTACGTGAGCGCTCGATTTAGGCTCGTGATAATTACTAGCTCGAGAAGTATTCGAATAGTAGCCCGTGTCCAATCGCTGCAACGACGACAGTAGCCAAACCATAATAATGTCTTGAACTCAGCGCGAGTCCTGTGCCTTGCCAACCCTAGCGTGTGGTTATGATCAATATTGGCGGCATATAATCGGCTCCAGATAACGTGGCCGCTTGTTCTGGCTGCGAGTTGAGGGAATGAACGCTGCTCGTTTTTTTTTTTTTTTTTTTGGGGGGGGGGGGGGGGGGACTTCTATTGCGTGGGGTGAAAAACGAACGCGTGTTTCATAGGTCATTAACGTTAGGGATCCGTTCTAAGCGGTATTTGCGCAAAGTACAAAATTGTTGCATCGCCCCTTTAAGATAAATTAAATTACGAAAAGTTACAAGCTGAAACGGCAATTCTCACGAGAAAACTTGCAAGCACCTAGTGAGCGTATCTGATGTTCATCGACAAAACAGTATCAAGTTCGGTGCGCGCTCCATTCACAAATTTATTCCGAGTACACTCGAGAGGATGGCGGTGGGGAAACGTATGTACGCTTTACGGACGAAACCCACTGCCGCCGGACGTCGTTTGGAAGGCGATGACGTTTGAAGACATTGCAGCCGTCGTGTCGGATCCCGTGCGCAATACAGATGCCCTCCGTTGATACCCTGCTCTTTCGGTTGTTATTCGCAAAGCTTAGTACAGAACAATGGTGTCCCGATGACCAGGCGATTGTCATTGAATTCGTTAGCTCTAATTAAATCTGTGAGTAAGGAAATTGAGGACGAAGTAAACAAGCGAACTTGAAACAACACACGCGTCCATGGCGTTCATCCGGGTCTTACGCTCATTCCTAATCAGCAAGGAGGAAAGCGCTTGTAGCCTTTCCCTCTTTTCTCTCTTGCCCTCTTTCAATAAAACTGTCATTCAGATTGTTTCGTTTTGCCGGCTATAACACAATGTATGAGCTCCAGCTATAGAACCGAGACAATACAATCTTGTTTAGCCTGCTGTAGAGGGGTGTATGGCTCTCAAGTCTTAAGCTCCAAAAAACGCGACCATACAATTTTCTTTAGCCGGCTATATCGCCATGTATGCCATTAAAGCTATAAAACAAAGGACATTATATTTTCTTTAGCCCAGCCTTGCACGATGCATGCCCCTAAAACTATAGTAACGCCCATTCAATTTTCTTTAGCCGGCTACACAGAGAAAGTCTTTCTCCTGCAACATACCCACGACTAATTACAGCCGGCTACAAAGACTTTTGTCAACAATTCCAAGCATCCACGCCTGTCATATTTTTTCATACCAGGCTACAGAATATTGTTCGGTACTAAGATAAAAAGTCTACGACCAATAAATTAATTTTAGCCTTCTGTAAAGCATATAGACTGCTAAAGTTGACTGATGTCCGCAATCACTAGAATTTATTTAGCTGGCAATAGAAAGAAATGATATATTTTCAGCGCTTGACTATAACACATTTAAACTTCTGGGTAAAATATATCTGGCATTCTAAATTTTTAGAAGATTACGCAAAAAGAAGGGGAAATGCTACATAGACACCAAGTGCCTTTGCTTTGGAGATAGTTCACCCGTGTCACCTGTTCATTTTGTTTCCAGCAGCCTCTGAACAAACTGATTTCGGTAGGATTTGTTTTTTCTTTTCAGATAAATATGAAATTTTTGGGTTTTCCGAATTTGAATTTCGCGTTTGCACTTAAAGCCTTTTCGCTTGAGCTTGAATGCTTCCGAATGCCACTTTCTTCAATCTCTCGCTAAGAAAAGAGCATTAGTAATTATTTTTGAAGACATGGAATTGCCGTAATAAAAAACAAGCCTTGAGGATCCGCTATGAAGCGTAGCGTGGTTCAAACTTGTGGTCGGTTATTATTAAGCACTGAAACACGACACCACTAAAAAGCAGTACCTGAAAGTCTTGTTTTTCCTGGATTGACTGTCATTTAGAAATTGCGTCGTACGAAAAATTCCGAAACATAAAATCCACGAGCAGTCGAATGAGATATGCATCACTGAACCAAACTCTGGCAGCCAACCCAGCGCAGTGAATGTACCACGTAACTTCGTCCTTCGCGCGTCGTTGCTTCGCGTCCCCCAAAATGTACGTGACACTCAGAGGGCATTAAATGGCTTCGGTGGCCCTTATAAGTATGCAGTGTGTCTTTGCGAAAGATATGTTCTGTACTTTACGCCTTCTTGATCCTTAATTGCATAATTTACGGGGAGGAGAGAGCTCGAGAAACTAATTTTCCAGCTTTTTTTTACCGAACTTTTCTATTGCTTTAGTGGGAAATAAAGGTATTATTTGAAAAGTAATGCGTTAAATACGTTACGTGCGATTCTGCCCAATACTGAATCTCTTTGCTGTGCACAGGCAGCATTTTAGCATTTGCCTATTTGGCAGGAGATCGAACTATAGGGGGTGCTCTGACTCGTTTGTTTCCCCACACCTCGGTGTTTACTCAACACAAGGCCTGTGCACATGCCCACAAGGACTTATGGGCATGTCCATGTCATCTTCTACAATAAAGCGCGGGGCATAGTGATGTAAAAAATACTGACAATCGACGAAGTGACGCTAAGTACCGGATCTACCCTGAAAGCAGTCGTGAGAGAATGCGAGCTTGACCCACTTCGCCTTTTGTGCTGAGCTGGGCGCCGTGCATGCCGCATTCTTCATGCAGGCCGGAGTGGTAACAAAAGAGCCCCTCCTCCCCCTCACCGGAGAACACGAACTCCAGCCCAACGCTGACGCCGCGTTCGGTTATGTCGTCCGAACGCCGAGTCATTGTATTTGTTGTCGCCATTCATGTAGTGCTAAAGCTAACCGCTTGGGGCGTCACGGTCGCTCCTCCTCCCCAATATTTACAACTTTCTTTACTTTGGCTGTATATAGTAGGCGGACCACGGGTACCTGCGCAACGCTGGAGACGATGTACCCTCCTCCGCTGGCGGACACCCCGACAACCACCTTCTTGTTGTGCAGGACCAGAGAGGGCGCCAACGAGGACAGGGGCCTCTTGTTGGGCTCCAGCTGGTTGGCGCTGCTAGACGACAGG